CTCTCTCTCTCTCTCTCTCTCTCTCTCTCTCCTTCTCTCTCTCTCTCTCTCTCTCTCTCTCTCTCTCCTTCTCTCTCTCTCTCTCTCTCTCTCTCTCTCTCTCTCTCTCTCTCTCACACACACACACACACACACACACACACACACACACACACACACACACACACACACACACACACACACACACACACACACACACTCACGCACTCACGCACACACATTACTCATTACTCATTTCCCTCACTTTCTCTCTCCTTCTCGCCCTCTCTCCCTTCCCTCACCCTTTCCAGTATAATCATCCTCTCACCCTCCTTCCCTTCCCCCCCATCCCCCCCTTACACACGAAATTAAGCTAATTACAGGTAAACAAAAACTTCTTGCTGTGCTCTCAGTCATAAGATTTCCTTCTTGAGATTTTTTATGTTGTTTTATGCGCTGTCTTTATCTCGGCTGTTTCGTTGCTGTTAAAGACTGGCGAATCAATTAAAACAGTGATTGCGAATGATACTAATTGCAAGGCTGTTGGGCTTTGATGGCAACTGCAGTATTGATATTGCGTCGTTCTCTGTGTTTATTTTGTTTCGTTTCGTTCTGTTTTTTTTTTTTTATATGAAATAGGAATATGGATAATAATGATAATTAGATGATAAGCATGGCAAGGGTATGATAAAGATGATTATATAATTACGATAGGATTAAGATTGTTAATAATGATATTGATGTTGATGGGGATGTAATAATACAGTTGTTAGGGTAGGTAATGATAATGATAATAATGTAATAAGGACAATCATAATGATGAAAATGATCCAAACTGTAACTGATAGAACATGAAAAGTAAATAACAGTAGTAATGATAACATCAACAACAATAACAATAATACAGGTGAAGATTACTGGTGACACTCATACGAATAATGCAAATAAGTGTTCTAATAATAATAAAGATAATCAAATAACCATGAATTACAAAGAAAATCCCACGATAAACATTTCAGGCATTTAAAAAGTCACGCTCCACACGCGGGAGAGAAGACCTAGCCGGAGATCCTAGCGTTGCACAAAGTACAATGACTTCTTACGGAATATATTGGAACGGATGCATTTTTTTTGTTGTTGTTGTTTGGGAGGGCAAGGGGGGGTGGGGGAAGGGATTGTCATGAAGGGATCGAGGACTTAGTTGGTAAGTGCGGACTGCAGATATTTTGATTTTTATTCATTAGGATTAGAGTTTATTATTTATCAATTTTAGAATATGATGGTGAATGCGGTCGATTGGAGAACTTTCAACTTTCTTTTTTCTTTCTTTTTTTTCTTTTTCTTTATCATCCGCGTGTGGCATTGATTAGGATACGTATTCGTTTATAATGTAATAGTACAGTGAAACATGAAGGAGAGACGTACATGGGTATGGGAAGAAAGAGTTGACTGAAAATTACAAAAGATAAAAAAAAAAAAAAAAAAAAACTTGCTGGGGGGGGGGGAGATAGAGAGAGAGAAACAGATACACATAGCGACAGATGAAAATAGAAAAGAACCAAAACAGAAACTTAGAGCAATGCAAGCTAGATACAACATTCGAAATAAGGACCTTTCTTTGTTATATGTGTGTCATGCAGGTGTAGACGGAAGAAGGAGGAGAGGAAACGGATAAGTCGAACGGCCTCAAAGAAAGTCAGAGAAGAAAGGACGGATGGCTGCAGTATATCTGATACGCCCCGATGCGTCTGGCTGTTCGGGGCGCAACGGGGAACAGGTGGGGGGGGGAGGAGAAGAAGATGAGAGGCGGGTGAACAGGTGGGGGGGGGGGGAGGGAAGAGAGAGGAGGGTGAACAGGTAGGGGGGAGGGAGGGAGAGAGGAGGGGGGGGAGAAGAAGATGAGAGGCGGGTGAACAGGTGGGGGGGGGGGAGAGAAGAGAGAGGAGGGTGAACAGGTAGGGGGAGGAAAGAAAAGAGGAGGGGGGAGAGAGAAGAAGGGAGGAGGAGGCGGGTGAACAGGTTGGGGAAGAGAGAAGGATGGGGAGAAACAGGTCGAGGAAGGGAGGAAGAGAGGAGGTGGGGGGGAGAGAAGAAGAGAGGAGGAGGCGGGTGAACAGGTGGGGGGAGGGAGGAATAGAGGAGGGAGAGAGAGAAGGGAGGAGGAGGCGGGTGAACAGGTTGGGGAAGAGAGAAGGATGGAGAGAAGCAGGTGGGGGAAGGGAGGAAGAGAGGAGATGGGGAGAGAAGAAGGGAGGAGGAGGCGGGTGAACAGGTGGGGGGAGGGAGGAATAGAGGAGGGAGGGGAAGAGAAGAAGAGAGGAGTTAAGGAGAGAAGAAGGGAGGAGGAGGAGGCGGGTGAACAGAGGATGGGGAGAAACAAGTGGGAAAGGGGAGGAAGAGAAGAGGTGGAGGCAAGTGAGGGAAGAGAAGGAGAGAATAGGAGAGGGAGGAACAGATTGTGGAAGAGAAAAGGATGGAGAGGCACAGGTGAGAGAAGGGAGGAAGAGAGGAGGGGGATTAG